TCATATTTATTGAAACTTACTTTTTAAAAAAAAAATTTAAACAACTAAAACTGTATCTCAAATGCATATTTTTTTTTATCATATAGTATAAATGAGTTAGTTTAAGAGATTATACAAGTAATAAGTAATTTAAATTTAAAAATTTTAAATATATTTTTTACTACAAACACTTATAAACACATTTAATCAAGTATATATTAATTAAAAGAATTAATCAAATTTTCAATCAAGCTTTTATATCTATTTTAACTAAATTACTTGAACTTCTATCCCAGTAGATAAAAACAATAAGCAAATAACTTTTTGCGAAAAGAAAATTTGAATTAAGGAAGAGAAAAGGAAAATTCTTCTTCAAAATATTTCAGCCAAAATTAGGGATTTGGTGTGAGACAAAATGTAAGAAAGGTTAGAGTATTTTTTAAAAAATCCAAACTGGCAAAAAGACCAGTAATGGTTTTAAAACATTCATACCAAATATAAAAAAAGTTAAGGAGCAATCTGATCCTGATCTCATTTCTCAGGCGTAATTTTGCTCCAATTTTTCAGTGGTGCGAGTTTGTGTCCATGATCTTATTTTTCATTTGCAATTTTGCCTATGATCTTTTTTTAGTGTAATTTTGCTTCTGATTTTTTGGTGCAATTTTGCTCCTGAAGGTCAAAATTGTATTAAAAAAAGATGGGTCAAAATTGTATGTTAAAAAGATCAAAAGCGAAATTGCACCTAAGAAATAATATCAGAATTAAAATTATACCTTAACCCAATATAAAAAAGAGAACTGAAGTTCCATTGCAAAATAAAGTAAAACTAAGCAGAAGCGTTTTCATTTCACTCCAATGGCTTTCTACCAATTTCCCTTGCTTTCAAACAGTATTATCTTCAAAACCGAAGTTCCCAAGTCAAATCATACCTCTACTTTCAGCAATCAGGAGCTCTTGTTTTCCTCCGACAATCCAATGCAAGGCTTCGACCTTTAGTGATTCTAATAAAAAAACACTTCTCGTGGTTCTGCAAATCACTTTCAACCTTCAATTTGGGATTATGATTATATCCAATCAATAAGAAATGATTTTGTGGTATGGCTTCTTTCACGTTCATTCTTTTACTTGCTTTATTGAAATTTATTTCATATCATGATCATATATTGTTTTTCTGTGCAAAATCGATTTTCTAATTATTATATACTAATTATTTGAAGGAAGAAACATATCTAGAAGAAAGAGATCAGTTGAAGGAAGAAGCAAGATTGATGCTCTTGACATTGACAAATCCTGTGGAACAATTAGAGGTCATTGATGACATGGAAAGACCGGGAGTGGCTTATCATTTTAGCCAACAGAAAAGAATATATTGGAAAATATTTGCAATAATGAAACATCAAGCATAAGTAACAATTTATACGCCGTGGCTCTTGAATTTAGACTCTTGTGACAACAAAGCTATTATGGTGTGTCATCAGGTATATATTTTATTCGCTTATAGAGCATAAAGTTCACAGAAATCAAGCATTATTATGGAGAATATAATTATTTTTCTAATGCTAACAATTATTCAATTTGTAATTGCATGGTTATTTTCAGGGACATTTGATGGATTCTTAGATTACAATGGTAATTTCCGTTCTTGCCTTTCGAGCGATATCAAGCGTATGTTATCATTGTATGAAGCTTCTTTCCTTTCAATTGAAGGTGAAGTAGTTTTGGATAAAGCAAGAGAGTTTAGCTCAATTCATCTTAAAGCATTTGTGAAGAAAAGCTACGAAGATGATGAAATATCACTTTTGGTTAGTCATGCCCGAGAGCTTCCACTGTATTGGAGGGTATCAAGATTAGAAACTCGGTGATTCATCCATTTTATGAAAGAAGACTGAACATGAGCCCCACTCTGCTCAAACTTGCTAAATTGGACTTCAACATCTTACAAGCTACTGACCAAGAGGATATGAAACAAGTGTTAAGGTGAAAATAATTATACAAATTCGGCCCTGTTAGGAAACTTTGACTGTTTCTAGACCTGATTAGAACTCTTACAATGATTTACATTTTATTGATTGAATATTTTCAAGTGAAATTTTCAATCTCCACGGAATTTCTTTGATAAATATAAAAAAAAATTCGTTAGTTAATTCAACCTGATAATATTATGAGTTTCAAACAAATTTCTCAATGGTTTTCTTTTCAGTTGTGAAAATCGATGGAACTCCGAGAAGTTTGCTAAGCTCTAGAACTTCAAAACATTAAAAAAAAAAAAAAACAAAGAGAAAATATGCATACTACTAAGCCGATCTTTTTTACTTGATGCTTTTATATTTGAAGATGGTGGAAAAGAACTGGACTCGGAGAAAAGCTGAGTTTTGTAAGGGATAGAATGGTTGAGAACCTCATGGGGACAGTGGGTTTGGCTTTTCAACCACAATTTGGATATTTTAGAAGAGTGGTTTCAAAGGTTTTTGCAATGATAACTAGAATTGATGATATGTATGATGTTCACGGCAGTTTGGAAGAACTAAAGCTTTTCACAGAAGTGGTAAACAGGTAAACATGTTATCTTTATGATAAATATACGTATCTATGTATGTATAAGTGTCCCAATATTTGTTGCCATTTTATACCTCTTTTATGACATAGATGGGACGTCAATGCCATGGATGAACTTCCAGACTACATGAAAATTTGTTTCCTTGCACTTAATAACTTTGTCAATGAAGTGGCTTTTGACTTCCTCTAAGAAAATGGACGCAACATCATTCCACACATTAAGAAAGTGGTATACTTCGATATAATTCATCGGTTGCATCTTTTCTTATTTTATACTATCTCCCGCCCTTAATATAATTTGGATGGATTAAAAAAATTAATTAAGTTAGTTATTGATAAAAATATGAGTTGATTTTTCTATAATACCCTTTGTAATCATAATTACCTTTAAATGAAAACACATTTATATATGTAATCAATAGAGATATTTTAAATAATAAATTATAAATTTGGAAGACAAAGTGGATTGAAATCTTTTATTTAGGACCAAATCCAAATCCTAATTAACTCTTATATTAATAGATGTAGTATAATATAAATAATTTTAATCATGATGTATTTTAATTGGGTTGAGGTGCAATTTTGCTATGGAAGTTTTCACATAGTTGTTTGTATCTATGAGTTTTTGTTGAATCAATATTGCTTTGGAAGTGAAAAAAAGGGTAATATTGGCCCTAATTGTCAAACATGTTAACTGTCAATGTTATTTTCTAACGAGTGGAGCGATTTTGCTTCTTTTTCTAATATTTTTTGGATGATATTGATCCAACAAAAACTTGTAGATATCCACATAACTTCTACATGTAAACTTGTGAGGCAAAATTAGACTTTAACCCTTGCTAATTTTATATGTCAATTATTGTGTTCAATTTTTTTTTCAGTGGGTTGATCTCTGTAAATCAGATCTAGTTGAGGCAACATGGTACCATAATGATTATAAACCCAGCTTTCTTGAGTACCTAGAAAATGCATGGATTTCAAGTAGTGGACCAGTCGTACTTTTTCATGCTTATTTTCTACTTCCTAGTTCTACCAATTAGGAGGATTCGATTCGGTTTGAAGAATATTATAATGTTATTCGCTATGTATCAACCATCTTGCGCCTTCTCAATGATTTGGGAACAGCAAAGGTATCATGACACAGTCCTTTCATATTCTATTAACCAATAAGTATATTGCATGAAATATGGTACTTATTTTCTGCGAATATTTAATCTTGCAGCTGGAAAAGGTGACTGGAGACATACCCAAATCAGTTGAGTGTTATATGAATGAAATTGGAGCTTCTGAAGCTAAAGCTCATAGGCACATAAATTCCTTGATATGTGAAACTTGGAAGAATTTGAATAAAGAAGTTAGCAATTCCTCTTATTCAAAGAGTTTCATGGAAGTTGCTGTGAACCTTGTAAGGATGTGCCTGCGCATGTACCAACATGGAGACGGCCATATTGTTCAATATGATGAAACCAAGAAACGTATAATATCATTGTTTTTCCAGCCTATTGCTTGAATTTATACAATGAATCTATTTTTAATTTTTCTTATGGGTGTATTTGCAAGAGTTTGTCAAACATTTTCAATTGGGTTGTTTGGTAATCAATCTGTAAGTGCTTGATATAAATAATGTTTTCTAAATGGTCAACATGAAGTCTTGATGTTTTTAATATAGAAGGATTTTATTTTGTTATATCATGAATGAGGAAAGTATTCCAATTTATGCGACTTAAAATGCATCCCAATAAGTTTCATATTGATGTTGATGTGAATTGTTCTTGTGTTAATCAATTAACGAAGAATTACAACAATAACTACTAGAGCATAACTAGTAATCTAATAATGAAGCATGTGAATTGTATCTGGAGGAGGATCTGCAAAATTGGTTGGTATGTAGCATATGGTTGATAAATCCCTTTTTTATTATTATATATGGTTTATCTTGAGCTTTTAGCACTTTAATTGGGTTCAAGTGAATTAATTAGGAGTTAATTGGGAAAAAAGTTGACTTTGTTAAATAATGATTAATTGGACATTTGAGAGGATTGGCACAACTTCTATCAGTAGGACAACGCAAGGCAAGCTTAAATGGGGCATGACGAGGAATTGGTGAAGGGGCATTGTTGGAATTAACTCCCATCCACTAGCACTTTATCTCCTTTTATTTTAATTTTTTTTATAAGTACTTATATTTTTCTATCAGAAGCAATCTTATTTGAAACCTTGTCAAGCTTTAAATATGATTAACTCTCACCTCAATTATTTTATTTTATTTTTTTGGAACACGGGACACAGGTGGGCAATCAATTTATTTCCCATTTATCATATCGGGTTGGTTAGGCATCATATAAATGAGAGGTATCATTTAGGTTTTGGGCCACACCTTAGGCCCATTTAACTACCCCACGAGACCCAATGTCCATTCCATTTGAAAAAATCAGATCTGGTTGAGGCAACATGGCACCGTAATGATTATAAACCCAGCTTTCCTGAGTACCTAGAAAATGCATGGATTTCAAGAAGTGGACCAGTCGTACGTTTTCATGCTTATTTTCGAAGGAGGATTCGATTCGGTTTGAAGAATATTCTAATGTTATTCGCTGTGTATCAACCATTTTGCGCCTTGTCAATGATTTGGGGACAGCAAAGGTATCATTACACAGTCCTTTCATATTTAATTAACCAATAAATATATTACATGAAATATGGTACTTATTTCCTACGAATCTTTAATTTTGCAGCGGGAAAAGGTGACGGGAGACGTACCCAAATCAGTTGAGTGTTACATGAATCATGAATGAAACTGGGGCTTCTGAAGCTAAAGCTCATAGGCACATAAATTCCTTGATAGGTGAAACTTGGAAGAAGATGAATAAAGAAGTTAGCAATTCCTCTTATTCAACGAGTTTCATGGAAGTTGCAGTGAACCTTGTAAGGATGTGCCTGTGCATGTACCAACATGGAGATGGCCATATTGTTCAAGATGATGAAACCAAGAAACGTATAATATCATTGTTTTGCCAGCCTATTGCTTGAATTTGTACAATGAATCTATTTTTAATTTTTCTTATGGGTGTATTTGCAAGAGTTTGTCAAACATTTTCAAATGGGTTGTTTGGTAATCAATCTGTATGTCCTTGATATGAATAATGTTTTTTAAATAGTTAACATGAAGTCTTGATGTTTTTAATATAGAAGGATTTTAATTTGTCATATCATGACTGAGGAAAGTATTCCAATTTATGCAACTTGAAATGCACCCCAGTAAGTTTTCATATTGATGTTGATGTGAATTAAGATAATCTATGATTTTCTTATATGAAGAAGGTTTGTACTCGTTTATGTGATACGCTAGTGAATTGTTCTTGTGTTAATCAATTAACGAAGAATTACAACAATAACTACTAGAGCATAACTAGTAATCTAATAATGAAGCATGTGAATTATATCTGGAGGAGGAGGATCTGCGAAAGTGGTTGGTATGTAGCATATGGTTGATAAATCCCTTTTTATTATTATTATTATATACTCATAGTCTATCTTGAGCTTTTAGCACTTTAATTGAGATCAAGTGAATTAATTAGGAGTTAAGTGGGAAAAAAGTTGACTGTGTTAAATAATGATTCATTGGACATTTGAGAGGATTGGCACAACTTCTATCAGTAGGGCAACGCAAGGAAGGAATTCATGAGGGGGCATTGTTGGAATTAACTCCCATCTACTTGCACTTTATTTTCTTTTATTTTAATTTTTTTTTAATAACTGCTTGTATTTTTTTTTTTTAAGAAGCAATCTTATTTGAAATGCTATTAAGCCTTAATACGGATAACTTTGACCCAATTATTTTATTTTATTTTATTGGAACACAGAACACAGGGGGCCAATCAATTTCTTTTCCATTTATCATATCGGGTTGATTAGGTGTCATATATCTGGGCTAGGTATCATTTGGGTTTTGGGCTACACCTTAGGCCCATTTAACGACATCACGAGACCCAACTCCCAATCCATTTACCCAAATTCCACCACACTTTAGCTGTCACTTCTAACTCTTTTGAAGCGCTAGGCAGCCCACTCAATTCACTGCTTTGCTTAGGAATTTTACTTCCTACTTGTTCTAGTTTTAGGGGGTGTTTAGATACTCTGAAAAGTGCTTCTCAGAAGCACTTTTTCTGCAAATCGAGATAAACTCCTCCATATATTTACTTCGTAGACCGTAAAATCACTTCTGAAACCATGATTTGGTTTTCATCCAAACACCCCCTTAGATAGAAACCAAACCATGGTTTCAAAAGTGATTTTACGGTCTACGAGGTAAATATGTGGAAGAATTTATCTCGATTTGCGGAAAAATACTTCTGAGAAGCATTTTTCAGGGTATCCAAACACCCCTTTAGGAATTCTATTTCTTCCCTAAATCCATTTTTGTTTTCAGCCACCAGATCCTCACATTGGGATTAACTAAACAGCCCTATAATAAAGTTAGCTGAGTCATGCAAAATCAATAGCAAAAGATGTAGAAAACTGATTAATATTCCATCCATTTCGTCTTATGGGCTTAGTTGTAAAACTATTTTGCTCAGGAACATGGAATTATCAACATATCAAAAAGTGTGTGTATATATATATATCTCTACACAGCTCTACAAGGTCCATTCAATTTTTTTTTTTTAAAAAAAACAAAACTATCTACGTGAATTCCACTTCTCTACTGCCACCACAAGCAATTCTTAATTCCTTGAGCAGAGACTCTTGAGGCTGCAATCCAGCTGCCTTCATCTGATACAAAAGCTTAATAGCCTCAATGTACAACCCATTTTGCATGTACCCCATAAGCATAGCATTCCAGCAAGCCTCGTTTGCCCTATTATGAATCATCTCAAACACAAGTTTTGCTTCTCTCACTAACCCACATCTTCCATACATGTCTATCAGCCCACACTCCACATAAGTATCTAACGCAAGTCCAAGCTTAATAGCATTAGCATGGACTTGCTCACCACAGTGCCCATGGCTTGGCATTCTTCCACATGCTTTAAGAACACTAGAAACTGTGAAACTGTTCTTCCTTATTCCTCTCCTTCCCATCTCCTTGAAGTCATTGAGAACCTCGTAGAAATGCATTTCTCTGCAATCATTTACAATTTTTGCTGTCCAAGTGAAGGTGTTATGTCTAGCTACCTTGTTAAAGGCGATATTTGCGTCTTCTAGGCAATTGAACTTCCCATAGAATCTAATCAATGCGCAAGTGAGACGTACATCGTTACTAATGTCCAACTTGACTAAGCACCCATGAACTTGTTTTCCCAGATCGAGATTGATACTGTACGAACATGCCTTCAGAAGACAAACCAAGATCCAATTGGGCAGCTCCAAAATACTCACTTGGTCAAGCATGTTGAGAAACAAACCTATGGCTTCCTCGTAATTTGCATTATCAAAATAAGCAACAAGTAATATAGCCCACGAGTTGATATCCCTCACAGACATTTTATCAAACAGGTGGTGTGCACGCTCCACTAAGCCACATGACGCAAACAAGAGAAGGAGCCGATTGAGGAAGCTTAACGGAGGATCAATGCCGCTTTGTGTTATATGGACATATAGTTCCATGGCTGCATGAGGGTCCCCAGAAACAGTACACTCTTCTATCAAAGAGACGTACATGTCAATGGGTATAGAGAAGCCAAGACCATCCATCAATCGCAAAACATCAGATACCGTGCTCTGAGCAGGGATAAATCCTTTTTTCTCGTTTTCCTTCTTCTGCAAACTAAATCCATTCGCATGATTGGTTTGGGGACGAAGGAGTTTGACGGGTTGTGGTGAAGTCGAAGGCAGATTTTGCGCGGGACGATGGAACTGAAGTTGAAAAGGGTGGTTGTTTAACTGAGGAGTAACAAACTCAGTGCAGGGTGATTTTGAGGGAAGAGAAACCATTTTCGAATAGTTAAAGTTCAATTTCGTGACTTGACGCAGTTGAAATCTTCGGTTTCATTTTCATACCCGTTAATCTTTGATTTTGTAACCGAAAAGAGAGCAATACCAACGATGTCCGAACCACAGTATCGAGGCGAGACCCGGGAGTCTGGAAGATTAAGAGAGACAGAGTATGAGACTGGGAGATCGAAGACGGTGTCCTAGCGATTTGTGAAAGCTGAGAGAGATTGGGCGAGAAGAGTGAGAAGGCAAAAGAGGGAACCGGGCTGCAAGGCTCCGATATAAAATGCACTTGTGTTGATGGTAAATCAGCTTGTCCGTAAAATGAGTTGCGTTCAAATTAGCCACGACAAAACTGATTTTTATTTTAATTAATTTTTATAAATTTAAATTAAATTAAAAATGTTAATTAGTATATTGTGATTTATGTTTGAATTGCTGTTTATAAAAAGTCAGTTGAAAAAATTAAAATTTGTTTAAATGATTAATAGAAAAGTAAGTTTAGTTGTAAAACTAACTTTTATTCTAACTGATTTTTGCAAATTTAAAGTAGAGTAAAAGCCAGTTAGTATGATA